TAAATATCTGCAGGGTGGGGGTCAGGAGGACCGGGGCCAGACTCTTTCCAGTGGTGCCCAGCGACAGGACAAGGGGCAACGGGCACGAACTGGAGCAGAGGAAGCTCCAGCTGAACCCGAGGAAGAACTTCTTCCCTCTGAGGGTGCCGGAGCCCTGGCCCAGGCTGCCCAGGGAGGCTGTGGAGTCTCCTTCTCTGGAGATATTCCAGCCCCGCCTGGCCGCAGTGCTGTGCCCCCTGCTCTGGGTGACCCTGCTTGGGCAGGGGGTTGGGCTGAGGGATCTCCAGAGGTCCCTTCCAGCCCCCGCCATGCTGGGATTCTGTGTGATTCTGTGTATCGCACACCAGTAAACGATCCCACTTTTGGGACAGTGCTGCGACCGCTCCTGCTGACATGCCTTTACTAAAATGCTGAGTACGTGTGAATTCTAGTTTTTGTGCTATTTAGGTCACCAAATTCTTTCAGCAAAGGGCACGTACACATGAGATAAAGCAGTTAAACCAAAGCAACTCCTAAGAGATCTTCACAAAGCGAGACCGTAAATCTGCCTTCCTCCGATGTGGCTTATCCCTGAAGATGTCTGGGATTTTAAAGCTTCGTGTCGCTTCACAAACGTGAAAGAAGGCTGATGGTGGGGGTAAAGTGTCTTCAGTGTAAGGAAAGCTGAGATGCGCTGGATGAGTGAGGGGCTGGCCCAGATCCTGAAGGTAAATAATTCAGAGACAGGGTGAGGACAGGCTTCAGGTCCCAGCGCAGGACCGAACCAGCGACACGGCATCTTCGGGTGCCTGGCGCCTCGGGCTGGTGTTTCTCACGTGTCCTGCTCATCCCACCGAATCTGCTGTAGTTCTGGAAATTGGGTGGAACGACTGCAGCTGGTTCTGTGTTGGAGTGGTGGAACCGTTGGCGAGGTTCTGGAGCTGGAGTGGCCTCTAGATGTCATTGCCGCTCCGCAGCAACGCCGCGCCGAGGAGCTGGGCTGGGCAGAGATGCGCCCGGCGCTGTGCTCAGCCGTGTCGTGTTCCTTGGGTTTTACACACACAAATCCCTGGACTGCAGCCGGCGTCCGCGGCGTCGCTTAACTGGGCGGCTGTCGGGCAGGGAGAGGACAGGAGGGAGCCAGCGCTGCTCCGATCCGTCGTTACCTGCTGATCCAGTGCTGCACTCACGCGCTGGATGTTGGCACCAGAGGCAGAAAGGTGGACAGGGAATCAGCTCCGGGTATCCCTGTGAGGTACCCTCTGGATTATAATGTCTGCTAATAATTGCAGGTGTAAGGCCACGGGATCTCTTGCAATCCGCTCCTGCTCTGGAGGGAAACCCGCTCAGACTGTGCCGTGTGTTCCCTGTCACTCGCAGAGCCCGACTGTTCTTTCCCTGTTGTTTTCTTCCAGATTTCAGTAACGTGATCAGCAAGAGTGACGTCAAGTCGTTGGCTGAGGCTGACGAGCAGGAAGTTGTGGCTGAAGTTCAGGTGAATTCGAATGTTTTAAGCAGATCTCCTAATCCAAAAGCATCAGCAAAGCAAATGTACGAGCCAAGCTCAGGCGTGGCAGTGAGAGGGCTGTAGCTCCTGAGCAGTCCGCAGCAGCACTGGGCAGCAGTCTCGGATGGAAAGTGAACGTACGTGTGGGATTAAAAAGTCAAAGAAAGAAAAACTACTGTCCCCCCTGTTTCTCCCTGCCCGCCAGTTGTCAGAGCCACTGCTGGTTCTGCTGTCATCTGTGTTTCACAAGGCTGCTGCGTGTTTGTGGTGTTGATGAAGAGCTACGTCCTCGAAAAGTGCACAAGTGTAGGGGTTGGAGAGGTTGGGCATGGAGGAAGGAGAAATAACCAGAGTCAGTGCGTTGCTGAGGATTTTTGACGATTAATGTGGCTGGTGCTGGAACGCGTACTCTGGTAGGCTGGGTACGGGGTGGCAAGACACCTAACTCTGTTTGCTGTCACTTGTTGGCAGGAGTTCTACGGCGATTACATTGCAGTGAATCCACACGTTTTCTCTCTCAACCTCTTGGGCTGCTGCCAGGTAAGGAAAAGCTGATGTTCCTGTGGGGCCTTGGTTTATGGTTAAGAGAGGGAGCAGTAGCCACAGCGAGCTGGGTGCGGTGGTGGGCTGCCCAGCAGGCAGGGTGCTGCGGAGGGCCCGTCAGCGGGGAGCTGGTCCTGACGAGGAGTTGGCAAGGAGAGGAGCTCTGGGGAATCCGGACCGTGGCCTCTGGTGTACCTGCTCCTCCAGTCAAACTATAGTAACTACAAGATGTTAGGACTTGGAAAGAAGACTTTAGGTGAGAGGGAGCTTGGGGACGGTGCAGCCATCCTAGATGCAGCCTTTCCTTCCAGGGTCGCAGCTGGGATCCGGCTCAGTTGTCCAGGACGACTCAAGGGCTGACCGCTCTGCTGTTGTCGCTGAAGAAATGCCCCATGATTCGGTACCAGCTCTCCTCCGAGTCAGCAAAGAGGCTTGCTGAATGTGTGAAGGTATGGTGAGAACCTGCAGCGAAGTGAAAGAAGTCTGGCAGTGTACTCAATTTTTGTTGCATTTTTTTCCATGTTGATCCATTTGAGAGAAATACCCTTTTGCAGTCGATCTGTGTCAATTCTGTCATTTGCTTCGTTGCGCGGCCTTGGGCAGGTCACATCCCTCCCCTCCGCCTGCTCCTGGCCAAAGAGCCGGTCGCGTTTCCTGCGAGTGTCACCAACCACCGTAGGTTACCTGCTGCCTTGCGAGGGCAGGAGTTATCTCTTCAGCAGCAGCGTGGACGAAGATAGCGGCACAAGTCATTTTTCCCCAGCTCTTCACTCTTTGTTCAGCTGTATCCAGACTAAGAGGAAGTGTTTTCCAGGTGTGCGTAGGACCAAGTGGCTTTTTTTCCCTTTTCTCGACAGCAAGTAATCACTAAAGAGTACGAGCTGTTTGACTTTCGGCGCACCGAGGTTCCTCCTTTACTGCCATCACGCCGCTGCTGACCCAGGTGAATCATCTCGCGGTTGCCCCAGGGGCTGAGATAGGACTGGAGTTCTGGAAGTGCGCAGAGCCCCGTGGCGGTCGCAGCGAGTCCGAGCTCACACCCTGGCCGGGCATGGTTTATATTTGAAAGGTAAAAAGTATTGCCTCCCAGATTTTTCTGAAATCCCTCTTTTATCTCGTGGCCTGATTTTTCAGACAGTTGAGCAGGGGTTGTGTGTGCTGGCTTTGGTGGCAGATGTAGCCAGCACTGGGGCAAACCCGGCCGCTGGCGCTGCTGTGAGACAGGCCTTACATCTGGAGTCCTCGTGCCTTGGCAGTGTCCTCTCCGAGGGCAGCACGCATCTGTGAGCTGCTGAGCAACCTTGCGCCGGTGTTTCTCTCGCTCTGTGTTACCGATGGGTGGTAGCGTTTGCTAGGTAGCTGTTGGGATTTTCTTGTTCTTCGCTGTGCTGCAGAGCCTGGCGTCAAGCAGTGTTTGTCCCCTCCGTTTCCGTGGGGTTCGCTTCCACACGGCTCCGGCTGGGGCGGCCCCCCGGCTCCCCCCGCAGCCGCCACCGC